TAACACGAAGTATGATCCAACTGTTTCCACGGAAATTCTGAACACATTTATTAAATAAATTCTGGTTTCATAGGAAAAATTACTGAATGAGAGGAAAATGGTTGGCGCTAACTATTTTTATTTATAATCGTTTCTTTGGCTATTAATGTAATGGGAATAAAAATGAAAAATCGTCAACATCATCGAAATTGATACGTTTATTCTTGCAGAAGACAACCGGAATTTTTGATTCTCAGTGCAATAATTCGAGCAATAAACCACTCACAATCCTACACACAAAAAATTATATATATGAAAGGCCTTTCTATAAATTCATTGCTGGTTGAAGAAGTACCCAATTTTAAATACCCTGGATCCACTCTAATATCGAATAGCCAGGCAAAAGACGATATTCGGATTACTGAAGTGCATTCTTCCGGTTGACGAAAGCTTTATGGAGCCGTCGTAAAATCACCATAAAAACGAAAGTCCGCATAGCCGCAATTCGTTCGCCATATGGCTGGAGATATAGCCAATGAGAGTGGAGGATATTAAGTTATCATACTTTGACCACTCATATTTATGCCATATTTTCGCCGAGTAGGCAAAATCTCACATCGACCTTCACTTAAATACCATTTTCATTAATAGTTAAATCCTGTGATTAAGAGATGCTTATAACCGAATTCTACAGTTATCGCTGACTCCTTGCCAACAAATTTCTGAACGTATTTCATATGCTCGAAAAATTAATAGCTTAACAGCTTATGTTAAGTTAATCAAATATCGAAATATCGATATACGATAAAAATATCGAGAAAGAGTAACAACGCTTTTCGATTCGTGTCTGTAACAGGAGTAACTCATAGATTAAAGAAATCCGGCTCAAAGTGTGACTTCTATCGCCAAGTTAATCTTAGCAAAACATCTTTTAAAGCCAATGGGGCGAGTCCAACCAAAAAATATTGGGCATTAATTTATAAAACATTAAAAAAGAGAAAAAAGAAGGGAAAAAAAAATCTGAGATAATGATAAATGGCAAATTTAATGTTAAATCACTTATCACTTAAAAAAGTGAAAATTAACAGAAAAAAAAGAAGTTTAGAAAACAACCTCCAATAATTTCTAAATTATTTCCGTTGTTCTGGAAACGCAATTTGCCATCGACAGATCGAAATGGTAAGAAAAAATCGATGATAAACCGATGAAATTTTTAATTGAAATGAACATCCCTATTTTGTAGAAATAACGACAGTTACGTATCCAATATATCGACAATAAAGTCTATTGTACTGATGAATTCGCGAAGGTCTTATGGAAGACCAAAAAAAAGGCAAAGAATGCAATAAAAACTGCCTCCACAGCCGGTTTATTCTAAAGATCCAGTTTATTTATTCATAAATAATTAGCCAAGCAAAATAAAACATACATAAAACATCGCAAAGTTATGAGCTTGCTTATGAATTCAACGGATACTCAAATTAATTAATCTTTAAATTGCAAATAAGTCAAATTTTGTATTCTAAACCAGCTATTAAAAAATCCGAATGATCATCCCATAAATTCTCTAACCAAGGCTCTGCGGCAAAAATGCCTTAGCGGAGTGACTGCCATTAGAACGAGCCTAGTTAGAAATGGGCCAAATGAAAAAGCAAAATTTTATTTACTGCAAATGAAAAAGTTAATCACATAGGTTTTTTTCCCAATATTTTCCAACAAATTCCTTTTTATTAAACACAAATTCTTTCCAAGAATTTTTTCCTAAAAATTTTCTCCATTGCAATAAATTCTGATGGATAGATAGCAATGCAAAATTTTATAACTCGGAAATTCGAACAATACTCGAAAAATAAAATTAATAAAGAAATTTTTTCAATTTACTTTTGAGAAATTACATAATGGAATGAAGAGAAAATCAAAAAATTACAATATTTCAAATTAAATTTGCTTATAAGTTGATTTATTTTTTTGTAAAATAACTTTAATGCCACGCAATTTTTATATTAAAATATTCGTTGCAAAAACAATTCAAAGGGATTTTACAAGGGAATATAAAATATTTTTGATATTTTGCATGTATTGCTTATCCGTTTCATTCTTAGGGACTCGTTTGTAACTCTATCCTCAAGTGAGTCGTGGTTTAAAAAATTTGCAGAAAGTTTTCATCAATAGACAACTGCTAATGGCTTAAGGTTTACGCTCATCATTTCTGTTGGCTTGTCCCACTGATTGTTAATATGGGAATGAGAATGTATTATTCAGAAATTTTTCTTGTCTTGCCAAGAAATCTTGCAGAAAAGGTCAAACAAATGTCTGACGTAGCCAGCAAAATGGCGCAAACCATATGCTGCGAACTGTTGAAATGAGAATGTATTGCTAGTGACCAGAGTAATTCTAAGCTAAAGGCTTACTATACTATACAAATCTTAATTCTTGGATTAATACTTTAATGTAAATTGGATTCATCATACAATGTGAACTGAAAAAGGCGACTGTATTGTTTTATGCTTCTGAAAACAAGTGCTTGTTAAAGTGCTAGTTCCATCTCAAGCTTTCAGTAAAATTAAAGCTAAGAATAATTTAAGGTTAGTTTGTTTGCTCTGCTGGCTGTTACTACAATGCGACAATTTGGCCGAAGAAAAAAGAATTATCACTTCAAGATAAAGGTAGAAATGATTAAGTGAAGAATGCAAAAAGTTTGCTATAAAAATTCAAAACACCAAAAGAACTGGCTTCAAGCTTTGTTTAATGGAAGAATTTTTAAAAAATACTTGAAATTAAAGAAGAGAGATGAGAAATGTAAAATTTCATCGAGAGAAATAGAAGGTTGTTCACTCTATAAATATAACAGTATTTATTGAGTGAACAATCTTATATACAAAACAATTTCACTGGACTCGCAAGAAATCTAATGCCCTGTCCAAGACGTTCTATAATGACACATAAAATTTCCAGTTCTTCGTAAATAATTATCCCATTTAGCAAAATTGTTAATCTATTAATTAAATGATACGGGATAAGAGTAGGTGAGAATGCCGTGTCTAAAGGCAAGGGCATGCCCTCTCCAGGAGCAAACATATCATCTAAAATCTCGATGATGCTAGCGATCCAACGTATTCACTTGTTACTCTCTGGTGAAGATTTTTAACTTCTGCCTAAACAGAAATAGTGAATACTAGCCATTTAACTTATTCATAAAGTGATGTGAAGAAATATTACTCTGACAATTTATGCATTAAGTACTGTATGTTGCACTTTGTGAACATTGTCCTTTTGTTGTCCTTGAGGACATGCAAACCTCCCGCTAAAAAGTGAAATCCGGTCAATGCATATATAATTCATTCTGGCTTATAGCTAAGCTAATTCCATCCATTTTTATTTCGGTGTTTTCGTGAATTAAGAATGCCTGCTTATCTTCATATGACTTCCGTAAAAATTAAAAGATATCAAAAAATCAGTCGAATATTTTAGGATAAAATCAGATTTGTTCGGCATCATTCCTATGCTTCGTAATTGAGCATATCACAAATGTTGAATTTTTATACGAAAAAGTAAGATCAAAATTAAATTAGAGGAAATGTATTGTTTGCATATTTGCAGTACATTGCATCAATTTCAATCATTCACTCAGACAGCTAAAAATCATTTATAAGAAAAAATTTCATATCAAAGAAAAAAATATTTGGAAATTACCTTAATAAATGAGATAATAATTTTGAATAGTCATTTGTCCATTTTATTAATTAAATCCATCTTTCCTACTATTTTTTAAAATGGTAAATGCTCAATTAAGCTGTGGAAACATTTGTACTTCTATTCCCAAATGACTTTCTAGCGAAGAGATCTCATCCTAATAGCTAGCAGAGCGAGCCAAACCGAAAATAATGGGTGCTGTTAGAAGAAGAATAGAATTAATTATTTCTTATTGTAATCTTAACATGATTTCTTGCTTTATTTGTAATTTCTGCTAATCATTTGCAAAAAATCCTTGGACTGCTAGAGCTTTATTTAAAAAAAAATATACGAAACGCAATATCTGCCGACAAAAGACAGAACATAACTGGATGACATATTCGCATTAAGGTGAAATTTTATATATGGAATGAAGAAGAGATCCTTATTCGTTATAAGCAAAAAATTATATGAATCACGCCAACCATTGTAAGCAGGATAGTGAACTGTTTTTCTCGTAAAAAAACGAAGTACAGATCTCACATAAGCATTAAATGGCGCTTCACACGTCGCTTAAACTTCTCTAAAAGAATAATTACTATAAAAAAATCATCAATTCAATTATAAATCCAAAAAATTGAAGTAAATGAGAGAAAATTGCTCAGCTTTTAATGAATATATCGGATAAGTTTCCCAGTTTTTAAGTCATTAATTTTTAAGACCTTAATTTGACAATCAATATTTTTATTCAAAATAACCGTTAAAATGAACACGCTTTTACCAACGATACAAGTGCATTTATTTCGTTAGCGAAAAAGTCCAAGCTTCTGGAATCATTGAATTGTTGGAAGGTGATTTAAAAGTACTCCTGTCCTCGAAATATTTCTCCATAATGAGGTTGCCAGAGACTGGAAGAAGTCTGTTGGCCAATGGTCTGGGGAATGGTGGATGGTGATTCTTTTTTATATTCAGTTCAGCATATTTTTGCAAAATTATTCTAACGACGTGTGGTCTAACTCTAACGTTGATATATAAAATAATAGAGCCTTTTTTACTGACCGATTCCCGTTGGTTTACTTATAGTTTCTGGAGATTATTTAATGCAATAAGGTATAACTGCTGCATCAATAAGCTATAATAGATCAGTCCAAAAGCAGATCACCAAACATTACCAAAATCTTCTTCGAAAGAGCCAGGCTTAAACATGGATCGAATAGGCTCATCCTTGCCCAACCGATCTTTTCCTGTCGTATATAATCAACTTATCGTTACAAACAAAAATTCGTTCCAGGAAATGGACGAAAATTTTTGTATCTCTAAATATGCCTCAGTAAATTCAAACCTAGTTGTTAAGCACAGCTACTTTTTTTCCTGCATACAAAATGTGCCACAGCTCACTCTTCACTCGAGAAAAATCTTTTTTAAGAACCAATATCTATCAAGATCATTTGCCATTGTAAATCACCCATTACCAAAAAAATAACTGCTGAAAAGTCATGGCCAGCAGAAAGATAATGATACGCCGACCAATGCGGCAATACAACAAAAAACTTGCAACCTTTTCTGATGATCTATGTCTTCAGGGATTAAAAGTACATAATATAATATAAATAATAAAATAAAGTTAAAAAATGACCAGTATCGAAAGTATTGAAACTATTTATTGACCATTTTCGACAGGTCGCAATTTTTCCTTCTTGTTCAAATATTTTTTTTCATTATCTTGTTGCGTTAATCCTTTTTCTTTTAAACGTAAATCACTGTGGACTTCAAAAGTCCAATCACCGAGGAAATGCTCGATTTTTGATTTGACCTAAATAGACACTTGACTTGCTGAATAAAATTATCTCATACAAAAAGATGTTTCTTCAAAAACTGGAAATAATTGATTAATCCATCAACCTGTTGAAGGCCAAGTTCAATTTTAGATCGTTCTCTGATTTCATATTTCTTCACTTTACCTGTAACCGTAAGAGGAAAGTCACCTTCATTCTTGAATAATATATAGCGAGGTATTTTAAAGTGTGCGATCTGAAAAAACAAATTTTAATCGAGAAAAAACATTTAAAAGGGCTAATATCTATCAAACTTCAGTTCAATGTAGGAAAGTGGATAAATTAAATTATAAATTAAAAAAACATTATTTTAGCGGAAATTTCCAACTTTTCCTCTGCAAAATTCACGGATATCTTCTTCAGTGACATTTGATGCCGAACTGCTCAGACGGATCCAAGCACAGACAACTTCACCAAATCTTTCATCAGGAACTCCCACGATCTAAAAAGCTTGGATTTCAGAAATTATAATAAACGCTAAAGTTACGTATCGCGAATATTTTTCAAAAAATGCTACTTCATGTAAAACTACTGAATATGCAGTTTAAAATAAACCAGTTTATTTTTCATTTTTTTTTTTGCTTTATAATTGAAATCCGATAAAAATAGAAAAATTTTCTGAATTGTATATATACGTACCAATGCTTGGAAAAAGCTGAACTAATGGAACTGAGGTATTGATCATAGCAGCATAAGAGCAGGCACTAAGCACCACATTCATTGAAACAAGAATGTACCACACTAGACAAGATTGTGTAAAAACACCTCAGAAAAAAACCATATTCGCAGGGTAAAATATAGGACATACATTAAAAAAGCATAACCAAGTAGCTAGCATCATCTACAGGAATATTTGCTGTGTATATGGCTATATGGATTCTCCCAAGATAAGATGGGGAATTCCTCAAAAGCCATGGAGAATAATAAGGCGAAGCTCGTGGACTTCATCATCCAGACACACAAACAAGTACTGGCCAATCAACCAGATCGTGGTAATAGAAAAGAACCAGAAATTAGCACTGGTGATAGATACAGCAATACCAAGTGACAAGAACATTAAGAGGAAGGAATATGAGAAGCTAGAAAAACAGCATGGCTTGAAAGTGAAATTAGAGATGCGGAAAATGAAGTAGTCCAAGTGGTGATAATATGTCCCCTAAACTAAACTATAAAGTGGCTTCAACAGATTCTAAGAATAACCAGAATAATCAGAAATCTCTACAGAAAAGAGCGCACTGCTGGGAATAACCAAGATACTGCACAGAACCCTCAATCTCCTACATCTCTAAGAACCCAAGGTTGAGGATCATCTTTGCCACCGACATGGGCTGAGAAATGAAATTTATTTATTAGCAAAACCTCAAAAGCATCCAGAATGAAATTTGATTTTTTTCCGAACTTACAATCCCTTACTTTCCGAACCTACAAACATTATATTGAACTAACCTGTACGTCTTCAATAGCAGGATGACGGAACAAATATTGTTCGACTTCAGTTGGGTATATATTTTCACCGCCTCGCACAATCATGTCCCTTTTTCTGCCAACGATGCTTAGAGTGCCATCCTCATGTATAACACCAATATCGCTATAGAGTTTTTAAAAGGTTTCTTGTGAAACTTATTATTGACTCCATCTTCAAAAATTGTCACTTTAACAACATACCCCGAATGATACCATCGATCCGGTGTAATTTCAGTTTTAGTTTGATCCTCGCTATCCCAATAACATCTCATGACTGAATAGCCTCGTACTAGAACTTCACCTCGCTCGCCTTGCGGTAATATTCTCCCGCTTTTGTCAATCACAGCTGCCTGAAAACACAATATAAAAACGTAAAAGTAAATGAAATCACTTCAAATTTTAATAGGAACAGTTGTAATGAACCTCAAGATGGTCCATGATATGTCCCACTGATTTGATCCGTTGTTCGGGTGGATCATCTCTAATTGACATGAATGATACAGGACTCGTTTCTGTCGTGCCATAACATACCTTTATAACAAATTCAGTTAGAAGGAAAGGGTAAAAATTAACGGAAATCATCTTAAGAGGCAGTTTGTATAGGAAAATCATATATGCTGATATGACATTATATAAGACAGAAAGCCAAGAACAATTAGAAGAATAAAATATCATTAAGCAGAGAAAATTAATAAATAGTAATAGTAAAAGGGATATAGTGATAAGTGACAAATGATAAATGATAAACATAAATTATAATTAGAGCAAATAGGTATGTAAAATTGACTGCGTAGGAAATAAAACTTAAACAAAACAAAACCTATTTTTAAAGTAGATTATAATGAATTAAACAATTTACTCAAGATAAGATTCTCAAAAAAAATATTTCAAAAATTGATATTAAAATTAAAATATTAAAATTGAATATTTAAATTTTTTAGTCCAAAAACCAGTAAATTGGTAGACTTAGTCCTCACTGCCTTTTGTCCTTGGAATCAGTTAATTATTGTAAACATATTTTTTTCGCTTAATTCGAAATAAGTTACTAGCCCACAATACGAATCATAAATGCTCTGAATCATAAATACAACCACATAACAAATTCTCCAAAAAAAGAAATCACCTGCAAATCATGCATGCCCAGTTCAGTAACAAGTTTATGACATAGCGCTATCGGGCAAGGTGCACCAGCCACAAATCCTGAAAAGTTGGGAAAGTGATCTTACTTTGAGTTTAAATTGAGTTAAAATTAAAAAGCTAAAAAAAAAATTCGGCAAGAACTGGGCAACAATCCTATAGTTTGAGGTGAAATAGGATAATCAAATTCACTGGAAAGCACTGGAAAGAATATATATGTAGAATATGGATAAGCAAAGTGAAAAAAAGGAGATATTGAAAAGGCTTTTGATTCTTACTGAAGAAAATTTATTAAACCTGAAACGATAGAACTACAATCAAATTCGTGAAAACGAGGATGATAAAGCATATCAATGAACATTGTTGGGGTGCCATATAGAGCAGTACATCTGAAACCGCTAACAAAAGTAGCAAAACAAATTAAAAACTAAATTAAACGTTTAAAGCAATAAAATATTAAGTAAGTAATAGTGACATGCCGTTCTTGAGCAACAGATTGCAAAGCAGCAAGTGCTTCGAATGATGGTGCTGGAAAAACACATGTTTGCAGATGCACGCAAGCACACAAACTACCCATAACACAGCCAAAACAATGGTATAGTGGATTTGGTATACAGATAATTGTCCGCTGCAAAAAAAATTGTTTTATTTATTGAAAATCGATGTAAAAAAACATTTTCTTTCTTACCCGCTGTGGGTGATAAGGGTCATCCTTGACCTCAGGTACCCTTCTGGACAGAGATCTCTAATGTTATTGGAGTCTCTTGAAGCCAGTTTTCTAATTTAGGAATTATACCCCCTAGTGGTGCTATCACCACTGGGATTACTAAGGCCTTCACTTTCTACATTTCTGATTTGTTGTATTTCAGCCCATTTATCACAAGTGCTGATTCTTCGTTCTTGTCTACTACCAAGATGACTGGTTGATTGGGTATTATTGGGTATTGGGTATTGGGTATTTGTTTGTCTGTCTGCATGGAGAGGTCTCATAGGATCTTCGCTTTATTATTCTCCACGATTTTCTAAGGAACTTGTCCTCTTTAGAGGGTCTAAGCTATATACTGAAATATTCTAGATATTCCTATGCCAGCTAATTGATTATGCCTTTCACTGTACGCTGTTCCTTTTACATCCTGTCACTATGTGTTGGTTTGCTTTTGGGGCGTTTTTACACAATCTATATTTCGAGTCTTTTCCGATGTGGTAGATCCCTGCTTCACTAAATGTGGCGCTTAGTACTTCCTGCGCTACCGTTGCCACAGTGCTGCCTTTTAGTTCAGCTTTTTTTCAAGCACTGGTAGGATTTCTCAATGTCAACCACCCCAGCTATTTCTCGATAACATATTCCATACAAGGAGGCTATAAAAAAATTCCTTTCTCACCCCTGTGGGTGGTAAAGATCATCCTTGACTTCAGGTCCTCTACTAGAAGCCTTGGAGATTGAAGGTTTCTTAGTAAGGCGCTCTTCTGAATAGAGATCTGCTGAAACTTTTTTAGTTTAGAGGTCATAGTTCCAAGCGTTCCCGTTATATATATATATATCTTAAAAGCTCCTAAAAAGAGATTCAAATAAAAATTTTTCAAAAATTTTCCGTGAAAATTAAAAAGCTAAACAAGTTATACCCTTCTACTTTCAAAACAAAATCTATGTGAATAAAAAAACCACTTTTTCATGATAGCCCGCTCTTATTCCAACGAAGTATGCGTTATTAACAATATTGTGATGAGTAAGAGTAGCTCCCTTTGGCAAACCAGTGGTACCCTGCAATAGAATATGAAGGTTCATGTAAAATAAATCAAGAATAACGGTCGAAAGATGAAATAATAAAAATTTACGCTGGTATATTGAATGTTAACTGCATCATCCGGTTGTATTTCTTTTTCGAGCTTATCTAATTTCAATTTATCTTCTTCTGCACCCATTTCAAAGACATCTGTATAATTCCATGCGCCTCTTGAAATAAATTATAAAATTTCACTAGATCTTGTCAATTTTTTTACAGGAGATAAATTTAGGTTTAGGCAAGTATTCTTCAATACCATCAATTTTTTTATTATTTGCACCTAATTAAACCTGTTTTATTTGATGAAATATTAAATTTCTTACCTAAAATTACGTTGTTCGGCAGAATCAATTATGATAAAGTGCTTGAAATATGGGAATTCTGGAAAACTTATTTCACCACGTCCTTCCTCTTTCGATGAAAGTTCAGGTATTATCTGACACAAACAAATATAATAATTGGATTTTTTAAATGATGGTGGAGCTATTAAAGCTTTAATTCCAACTTTACCCAAAGCGAATTTCAATTCTTCCATTTGGTATGATGGATTAATGTTAACCTGAAATAGGGGATAATAACCCAGTTCTTGAATAAAATTATCGAAAAAGCTAAATTTATTGACTCTTTATTTAACTATCACAGATATTAAAATTTTTATACCCTGAGAAAAAATATCAATTCAAAATTCATTATCTTCATCCCATAATTAAGAAGAAACCTGCCATTATCATTCCAGCTAATGCTGTCCCAAATTGGCATATAATCCATTCGTACAAATTCGGTCCCCACATACCGACGCGGTCACCTCGTTCCAGTCCCAAATGAAGCAAACCAGTTGCAAATTTAACGCCCTAAATTTTAAAGCCTGTCATCTTTTAAATAACGCATTTTGTCATGTAATGATATAGCTAAATTTATTTATGTTAAGTTTATTTTTCTTCCATGAATTCCGAACTGTTTGAGAAAGAAAATTCATGCTTCCGCCATTTTGTCAAGGTATCAAGGTCATCGTGATCATTACTATTCAAATAAGATGAAAAAGATGAGTAAAAAAAAGCATTTAATGAAACACTGTGAAAAAAACATACATCATCAAGAACTTGCTTGTATGTTTTCCTAATATTATCCCTGTTGAAAATCACAAATTCACGATTAGGAACCTAAATAGGAAAATAAATTTTTATTCAACATAATTTAGTTGTCTTCCCTACCTTCTCGTTTCTTATAATAAAATGGTAAAGAAGTACCTACTAAAATGAATTAATTAAAGGTTAATGCTCATCATTTCTGGTTAGTCACTTGTTCCACTTATTGTTATCACGATTAGAAATTTTTAGCCAGAGGGTAACTTAGGTACAGAAAATATAGTGGGGTCCTCAACACCACTGAGAACTATCTTAAGAAAATAGAAAATAAATACTTGGGGAAAAAACTGAAAAAGAACTGGAACCTCAGAAATAATTTTATTTATTTTTACCGAAAAAAACTCATTTAAATTTAAATAAATTTATTAAAAAAAGACATAAAAAAACTTTTTTCTTCCACAATCTTCAATTTTACTAGCAAGAATTTTTATAAAAATAAAGTTTTATGAATCGAATTTTTATCATTTCATAATTAAATAATCAAAATTGCAAATTGAAAATGTCAAAAAAATTTTAGGTAAGAAGAAAGAAAGAACCTGGCTTGCAGCGTATCGAAGACGATCACCGATAGTATCGAATAGTAGTTCAACATTCGATGCACCATGCAAATAACTTTTCCTTACTTTCTGTTTTATAACGGAATTTTTTGATAAATCACCATTCATCATAATATCTGCAAGAAAGACTTCGAAAAAGCTAACAAAAAATACCAAAAAATAATAGATAGAAATATGAACAGTATCTTATATAATTTTTCCTCAACAAACCACTTTTATTAAAACAAACATGACAATCTTCGCGATAAAACAAAGTTACTGGATGCTGCTTCTAACATCGTTGTTCTTTCGTTTGATTTTATAATACTTTGATCCGCTATCGGATATCACAATAATAATTATGTTAAATTAAATTTATGTATAAAATTTATGTAAGTAACTTACCAATATCCATAAATAATTTTCCACGACAGCGTAATCGCTCCGCCTTTCAATTACCTACAAATTTCCCAACAATGAAATATTTCTCACACTGAAACCTATTATATAGGTCGTCGATGGACTTATGTGCATAATCGCATAGTCTTAACCTAACTCTTTTGAACCCCTAATTCAAGCAAGGTCATAAACAAAGTGTAAATGTATTGAAGAGAAAGTTTTTATTGACGACACCATCGGGGTAAGCGCACAAATTACACAAATTATTTTTTCAAGATTTAGATACCGCGAATAATAAATAACTCGCTTTTAAATCTTACTCTTAAGGGTTCTTCTCGTTCTAATAGCGTTCTAGTTTAAATAGTTTCATGAAATACTAAAAGGATAATGCAAGTGAGTACTAGTATAAGATCCGGATAATCACAGAATAGATAGAAGCGGTCGGTTCTCCTGCACTACTCGAATTTCTCTTTTGAAGACAAATTTTACTCTCGACAGGAAACAACAATCGATGCTGAACCTCATTTGAAGCAACGTATTGCTCGACTACCATCTTAGTACTATTAACTCATCTTGTCCTCATTCAAAGATTATTAAAACAATAAATATTAAAGAGATTTAACCAAGGGAAATATGAAAAATTTAAATTCGAAAAGAAACAAATAATAAAGAGAGAAGGAAAAGCAATGAATGGAAGGATAATGTAAACGAAATAAATTTCGCTAAATTGTTAAAAGGAAATAACAATCGAAACTAAAAAAGTTCTGTAACAAATATATTTAATTGTGTTAAGCAATAGCAAATCTGATAAAATGAATTTAACGGACTTCCGTTGACTTGAAAATCGAAAACGCCGAAATTATCTTGACAACTAACGAATCACGCCTCTTCCACCCCCGAATCCATGAAGACAATTAGGACAACCACGATGGTGGTGACAGCAGTATTAATGGTGGTGATGCTGGGATGATGAGGAAGGAATCCTATTCTGTCCTCGTTCATAAAGATTGTTAGAAAACCAAATATTGAAGAGCTTTAACCAAGAGAAACATAAAAAATTTTTATCTTATTCGAAGATAGAAGGAATGAAACAAATGATAAATCAGGGAGTAAATCTTATGCAGAGAATTTTTATTTATTTCCTAATAACAAAAGGCAAATTGCTCTAAAAATATTTGACAATACTTGCGATGGCATTAGGTCGATGTTTTGCAGTTTCATAATAAATGACGTATTCAGTGAGGTCAATTACGATTTTTGAGATATATTATAAATATATTTTTTGTGATGTATTTGATATAACGATATATTTTTTGTTATCACGAATAAATGTTAGCAATAACTAGTCTTATCTTCCAACAGCACACACCATTTCTGGTTTGGATCGCTCCAATGACTGCTAGAACCAGAATCTTTAAAAGTCACTTAAGGATAGATAGGTAAATTTACAGCGTCCGGATTTAATAATTCACCCAAATTCTGATTAATATGGTGATTTTAGTTTTGCTTATTAGATTTAACTCTAGATGATTTAGGTTTCAACTTTACATCCTGAAGCCAGAACTAAAATCAGGATATTTTATCTATAAAAAAATTCAAGTGTGTTGTGTACTTTTTGCTCAATCTATGCGAATCTAAAGTATATATTTTATAAAAATTGCATGCTTTTTGATAACTAATGAGATCTGAGAAAAACTTTCAGTGCTCAAGTGCTTTTTTTAAACAACTGATTTGTTCAAATATTTGAGCAAAAAAAAAAATTTACTGAAAACAACCCGAGGTGCATTTTTGAAAAAAAACTGCACTTTCAGATTTTCAAATTCAATGTAATTTTACTTGACAGCCAAATTATAGGAGATAAGATATAGCCGAGTGTTGTCGCTTATTTCACCTCCTCGAAACATTAATCTTCGGATTCCACTCCTGTGCAAGTAAATTTCACATTAAAAATCCGAGCAATTCGCCAATATCGTTAGCTGATGTGGCAAAAATTTCTCTTTGTATTAACATTCAGCGGAACAAGCCTAACCGGAAATGGTGAGCGCTAATTAAATAAAAAAATAAATCCACCGATTTTATTTTGTTCTTATCGTGAGAAAATAATGACATTCTTTTGTGGAAAAAATCACTCTTGTTTCTTTTTTTGTGAAGAAAAATTGGTGAAAAGTAAGGAAAGAAATCGAAAATGATTACAAATCCTAAAACCTATCAGTTTGCTTTAAAAGTGACTTTTTTTGAATCCAAAAGAGACTATATTTGATTGAATTAATGCATGATAGATTTTTATACTCACATTATTAAGTATTAATGTTTGAAAAACATAATTACACGAGAAAATTAGATTAAGATTTCGGAATGAAACTACATCATGCCATTTTCATCATCATTTTGATAATCATTTTCGATTATTTAAGTGCTATGGGATTTATTTGATAAGAGTAAAAGAAAAAAGTTTTTAAATCCTCGAGAGATTCCCTAAATGGACGATCACAACAGGAATAAACATCATTTCTCTTTGTATTTCCTTTCTTTCCTTAAAATTCCTTTATTTCTTGAAATTTATATTAAAATGAATTTATTTAACAAAAAAAATTAATTTACTAACAATCATTTAAAAGCCTCTGTTAAACTATTTACAATAAATCTCATATTTATTTAAGCAAAGACCGTGTAAGATATATAGCCATACACTATTTATGATACGAAAGCAATAGAAGAGCGATTATTGCTAAGTACATGTTAGATTCAATACAAGACACCAGCTTATTTTATGTCAATATTAATAAACCTTTATTTCAGTTCACCCACTTAATGCAATGGCAATGCAGTGTTATCAGCAACTGTTTAGTTTTTTCTTAAAATGATAAAAAACAGACTCTATATTAAGGTAATTTGTTCCACTAATTAAATGAATGAAGAAGTTATAGCTTGTCAGACTTCAGTAACTTCAGATTATTAAATGTAGTTGCATTTAAATCCAGGCTAAAACAATCATACTTGATACAATCCATTTTGACATAAAATTTTGCATGTGAGTATCAAATCCTATTTAATCTATCTCAGTCTTAATGAGTTCAAGCTAAATAGTTTCAGTCTTGCTTTGTGATTAATGGTATTATCTGAGATGTCGTTCAAAGTATTCAGAAAATGCTTGTATAGGGAAAGTTTGCCTTCTAAATATTTTAAATGATTGAAACATAAAATCCGATATTTTTTGCTATTGTCCGACAGCCGAAATCAAAAAAAAAAGATTTTCGACCACAATTATATAGATATATCATTTTATCAAGAAAAAAATAAAATTTTAGAAAATAAAAGCGAAACCTTTTTAGACGAAACTTTTGTGTTCACAGCAAAACAGCTCTTATAATTAAAATATCAATTAGTTTTTCTGTAAAAATTCATTAATTATAAACATATTGGCTTTTACATATTTTTCTGAATAAATATTAAATAACGCATTCGTTAACTGGCATTTTCATGCATACTGACTTACTCTACAAAATTTTTATTCATTTACAGATCGTATGATTAATTAATGACTTCTTTTTCTTCTCTTACGATTACTGGTTAGGCTGGCTCCGCCGGCTATAGAGGCAAGACGTCTCCAAGCTACTCGCTTTAACGCTATCGCTAGTAGAAAAAGAAGCCATTCCTTTTTCCATTGTTTAAGTCCATATATCGCTGGTCCCTCTATACGTTCAAAATCTTTCCTAACTCTATCAGACCAGATCTTCATTGCTCCTCTTCGCTTTTGATGCAAACCATCACAGAATTCGGCAAGTAGCGAAATATGCGTCAATTCCTGTGGTGGACAACGAAAAACGTATCCTAACCAGCGAAAGCAACGTTCTATGATAAAATTATCAACATAGGTGGTATTTGAACGAAGGTGGATGCGATCATGTGATATTTTATCAGCTCGATGGACCCGTAAAATGTACCTTAGACAAGAGTGGTCTTTTACTCTCATTGGCCATGTTTCGTAGCCATATAGGAAGATCGAGCGAATTGCAGCTATATGGGAACGGATTTTCGTCTTCATGGTGATTTCGCAACAGTGCCACAAGGGTTTCATCAACTGGAAAAGCATATTTCTAACTGTTATTATCCGGGTTACAATTTCATCCTTTGCCTAGACATTTGGGTCCAGAGTGGACCCAAGGTATTTAGAATCGGGCACTTCCTCAACCAGTAATGAATTGATAAAAATAAGTATTTTTTCAGCATCTTGTATATAAAACGAAAACACTTTCGTTTTATTTACATTGATTTTGAGTCCAATTCTCACTTCAGTTGTTGGCACAGTTTAACATTACTTGCATTTCATTATCTGTAGCAAAAAGGACTACATCATCAGCGTATAAGCGTATATTCTGTGATGCTATGCTCTGAACTGATTTCCCCATCTCTTGACTGCCGACAACCAATGCCCATCATCCACTCTATCGCATAAATGAATATTGTAGAGGAAAGGACGCAGCCCTGACGAACACCAGTTCTTATTTCGAAGGAGTGCAACTGTGCAACAGTTCCCCACATACACGGACCTGACTTAATTTTTCCTTTTTTATCCTTTGAAATTTAATTAGTGACTTAAAGAAAACATTCATGTTGGTGGCTTATAACAAAAAAATTCGATTCAATGTTAACCACATTTAATTAAAGAAAATAGCATAGATTTAAGAATAAAATAGAACATGTTTAATAAAATTAAAAATTAATCAAAAATTGCCTCAAAAAATTCGAGTTCTGGTCTGAAACAACAGTTTCCAACCCACCAGTATTTTTCATTATTTAAAGAGGAATGTGAGAAATAGATGTATTTGGTTAATGTTTTGTCGTTTTTTAATACACATGTTTGTAATCCATGACTTTCCAGAAAATGACATTCGGTTGGAAAGTCCATTAAAAAAGATAATTTAAAATATTTCCTACTATTACTTCATTGTTTTTATTTATTTCATTATTCATTTATTATAAAAGCACGATAGCCGAGAGATTGTTCGTCTCGAGTGTTCATTTCCTACCTCCGCAACTTTTATTAAGAATTCGTCCTGATGACCCACCTGCACTCTTCTATGAATTACAGGCAAATATTTTCCATCATATTAACAGCCAGTGGAGAGAGTCTT